CGGGGCGGAGAAAAGGGGCAGATGCCAGGAGGAGCGTTGCTCCCCTAACCCCTCAACTCTGGCTAGGTCAACAGAGCGGTATGCTTTGGGTGGGCTACAGACAAGGTGATCTGCAGGTGGTGGTGGTGGAAAGGACGATGAGAGGGAGAAGGTCCCCAAGGAGGCCCAGAGACCGTGACCGCCTGGGACTCAGCGGAGAAGAGGGGCTCTTGGGATTCCCACGTGCCATGGGCTTTGTGCAGGGAGGTCCCCACCACCTGCCCTCACCTCAGGGGAAGGTGGCGTCTGGGTTATCAGGACTTTGCACAAGCACAAAGCTTAGACACGAGAGAGACCTTGGAGCTTTCCTGACCCTCTATTCCCACCCCGTCCACTTTACAGTGAGGAAATGAGGCCCAGGGTGGCACTGTGCTCATGCAGACACTGTGGCTGATCCAGCCGGCACCCCTTCCCACGCCCCCCTCCTTGTCTGTCTCCAGTGCAGGAACGAGCTACTTCCAGATTCTCTTGTTGTTTAAGCTACTCTTAGGTTTTCTATTACTTGGAGCCAAAACATGGTAGACATTTCCTTCCTAGAGCCCCCCTTTCCCCACCGGCCAGGTTAAGCAGGTTGTCCAGAGCCCTGTGTTTGTCCTCCCTTAGCAGAGATTTACGGAGTGTTGATATGTGGCAGGCACTGTGCTGGGCAGGGTGGCAGGAGAGACGAGGGCAACCAGAACCAAACTTGGCTGCTGTGTCCCTGGGGCTCATAGTGTAGACATAAACCAACACATGAATATAACATTACAAATTGCCATAAATGAGATAAAGGAAAGAACATCGTTCTGTGAGAGCTTTTAACTGAGGAGCCTGATTGAGAAGAGGGATTACAGACTTTGAGATGGTGATGCTGGAGGTATTTATTACATGGCTCTTGGCAGAGCAGTTCAGGCCGCCAGAACAACATGTGCAAAGGCCCTGTGGTAGAGGGACAGAGTGTGGCACAGCAGAGGGGCAGAAGGATGGCAGTGTGGATGCTGAAAGAAAAGATCTGAGAGGGAGAGGATGTATGAAAACTGCCCAGTGAAAAGGATTTGGAGGTTTCTGAGGAGGCAGCAGGGGAGGGGACTCGGCTGCTGGACAGAAAATGGAGGCGGGGTTATAACAATAGGCCCATTGCGTGGGTTTTCTGTGAAGAATGAGTCGATGGCCTGGCCGGTGTGGCTCAGTAGTTGAGTGTCAACCTATGAACCAGGAGGTCACTGGTTCAATTCGCTGTCAGGGCACATGCATGGGTTGCAGGCTCGATCTCCAATGTGGGGCATGCAGGAGGCAGCCAATCAATGGTTCTGATCATTGATGTTTCTATCTTTCTCTTCCCTCTCCCTTCCTCTCTGAAATCAATAAAAACATATTAAAAAACAAAAAAGAGTGACAGCGTCAGCAAAGCCGCTGTCACACAGGGGGTGAAGCCGACGCCCCCGACGGCTGCAGGGCCTGGCTGAGTGGAGGGTCTCCCAGGACCGGTTAGGGTGGTGCCACCTCTGCTCCACAGAGCGCTGCAGGGGTCCCGCTTCCGGTGGGTGATGATGGATTCTGTGGGAGAGCTTTTGTCCTTTGGGACATTCTACTCCCACACACCAGGGCCTCCGAGCACCAGGTGCCCTGCCTATGGGGCTGGCCCAACGGAGCCAGCGGGATGCTGGCCAGAGGTCTCGGGCGCACAGCTGCCTGCCTGCCTGCCTGAGCCCTTCTCTCTGGCTCCCTGCTGCCCAGAAAGGCCGCCACCACACTCACCCGTCTGCAGGGCCTGCTGCTCCTTCAGCAGGGCCACCTCCTGGGCCAGGCTCTCCAGCTGGCTCTTGAGCTCCTCAAGCATCTTCGGGCTCACAACATCTAGGAGGGGGTCAGGAGGGCGTGGAGATGATGATGCACATGGGAGGAAGGCAGTAGGGATCGGCAGGGCAGGGGAGGAGGGGAGACTCCGTCTACCAACCATCAGGGACAAGGGGAAAGGACTCCCTCGACCTGACCTCTGGGTGTATGCTTTGTCTGTCTGCTGGTGACAGTGTAAGTATTCGCTCAGGTTTTCCTCTGCCAGGGGCACCTGTCACTTGCTCTTGCTGAGGTGAGACCTGTGTGGCGTTTGCTCAGGGACATTGCTGGGGTTCCTGTGGTGTTGGGATTGGCAGGGGCTGGGCTGGGGGTGCAGGCAGAGTCTCCCGTGACCCCCCAACCATCCAGCCACCCTCCCAGCTCCGAAGAGAATGGAGCACGGGAAACAGGGCCAGGGCCCTTGAGACCTCCCAGGTGCCCCTCCCCAGGCAGGAGGAATAAGACACAGATCCAGCCCGGGACCGAGTGTGGTGGCACAGGTAAGGGGGCGCGTGGCCTCGGGGGTCACAGGGATGCGCGTGACCTGGAGCATGAATTCAGTGCTCAGCCTCTCTGAATTCAGTTCCCTCATCTGTAAAATGGGAGGTAGCAGCCCTACCTGAGAGGACCCCGCAGAAAACAAGAGACTAGGAGAAATCAAGTGTGTGAACAGTGCTGGGTTTGCCGTCAGCCCTGTGAGCTGGGCAACGTTTCTACACCACGGACAGCAAACTGAGGCCAGACTGAAGCAACTCGCCCAAGATCGCAGAGCCAGCAGCTGGCAGGGCTGCCTGAACGCAGGCCACATGGCTCCGAGCTTGACCTTCCCCGCCTCTGACAGCACAGACTCCTAACGGGAGCCCCAGGCCCTGCAGGGAGCTGGTGAGCGAGAGGTCTCGCTCCGTGTGTGTAAGTTGAGAGCTCTGTGGGTGGACCCCTCTTCCTGAAATCCCAGGGACTTTAAGAAAGCTGCGCTCAGCTTGGGGTGGGGGTAGGAAAGGGCTTCCACGGTCCATTTGGCTGGGCCTGCATGAAGTCCACAGTCATGAGGGGTGAGGCCAGGGCCTCTGTCCATCCGTAAGATGCCTTGGCAGGGGAATGGCAGGAAACAGATGCAAGCAAAACCACCCTTGTGTGCACAGAAATTTGTGTTGCAACTTACGAGATATGAGGAAAGTGACACCGGATGAGCAAGGCCAAACAGAGAGGGTTTGGGGCTGGGGAAGGAGCCTGGCGGGTGTGTGTGCCTCACCCAGGGCTCTGCCTCAGCCAGTCCGCAGCAGCTCTGTCCCCGGTCACATGGCGCACCAGCACAGGGTGCCACGTGAGGTGGCACAAGTTGGGCGTTACACAAGGGCACTCAGCTCAGGGGACACATGGGGGCGCGAATCCAGGCCTAAGCCTTGCCCTTGGCTGTGCTGGGTCAGATCACACATGGGGTGGGTGCCTTTCTGTAATGTGTGTGTGTGCAAGGCACGCTCCAGGGACCGGCCCAGGAGAAGGTGCTAGCAGTGCTCCACCCGAGGAAGGTGTGGAAGGAAGGGTCCCTACCGCTCAGGGTCAGGAGTCAGGAGGCCCTCGCCCCAACGCTGTCTCTGGGCGTCTGAGTCAGATGTGTGATTGAAGTGGTTGTCCTCCGGCTTCTGTGCTAAGGACCTGTGACCCCTGTGAGGCCATCCTGCCGACCTGAGCTCCTGGGCCAGATGTGGCCACGTGGCCCCTGGAGTTCCCGTCACCTGAGCCTCCCTGGGAGCCTCGCCTCTGGCTGACCGACCAACTTTCCTTCCCCGAGGTAATCACTGTTACTCTTATAAAGGCTTCCAGAAAAATTCTACACATGCACAAGTAAATAGGATTTTTCCTATAAATTCCTTTTTCCAAACAAAGGCCAGCACACCATCCATTCCATTTTGAACTTTTCTTTGCTCGCTTTATAAACGGAACCTTGGGTTATTTCCATCAGCTCGGCCCATTCTGTCTGTCCCCCCGCCCCCCCCCCCC